AAAAAAAAAAAAAAAAAAAGAAGAGAAAGTTATTGGTGATGGTATTAACATAGTATTTTCTTGAAAGCATTTTAGTATTATTTGAAGCAGCATAATTTAAGTCTGGTATTAATTCTATTTACTGATAATTTATGACGAAATAAACAGGAGTGAAAAAAGAAAGGTTTGTATGATGCATCCCAATGTACGCTAAAAAAGTTAAACATGTGTAAAATTTTATGAATGGTGTAAGTTGTTTACACTCTCTGACGAAAAAAGTTCTCTTTTTTTTTTCGTTCTGTTTTAGTCGTAGTTGCGATATTTTTAATACTTTTGAAACCAGTTTCTTAAAAGAGCAATAAAACAATATTGAAGAAAAAAAAAAGAGGAAGAAGAAACTGAGCGTTTGCTGGGACATTTTTTAAGCTTTTTTTTTTTGATTCCTACTCGTCTCCTACTTTTTCCATCTATTCGACATCATACCAAGCTGCAGTAATTTTTTTCTGCTCTCACAGTTTTCTTGCATTCTTTGCCTGATATGTTGACAGTAATATTACTAACTGTTGCAATCTTAATGAACTGTTTAATGGATAGTTGTTATACAAGGAACATACCGTATATGGTACCAAGACAAGGTTCTGTGCTCGTATTCAGTTGTAATGCATCAGACGGCGAAAAACCTGAATGGATATTACCGCATGGTATACGCATTCAGAACAATAATAATAGTAATATTAATAATAGTGATAATAGCAGTAATGACAACGATACAATGTTAGGCCGGGAATCAGATTTGCAGTTATTGGAAATAAAGGATCAGCAGCTGGTTATCCATGGTATCCAACCGGGTATGGACGGTCAGTATACATGTGTGCAGCGTAACCGAGTAATGGCAGTGTTCTTTATTCCGTATATCATTGCCAATGTCAATTATACTGCATCTGCGGTAATGTCGTTGATAGTTTCTATATTTTTCGCCATTGCATGTATTGTTGTACTAATTGTTAGTCGGTACTATTCACGACGTAATGCACAGAATATTGCATTAGTATCACCGGAGTCTACGGAAATGACGCGAAAACAAAATTTGATCACTGAAAATGTTGATTTTAGGGAAATGACAATTCCATAATACAGAATAGATGTCTGGGGAGTTGAATCTTTCCCTTTTTCCCTTTTTGTTTCTTTTCAGATTTCAGTTGAAATATTGGAGAAGATAAAATAAAAGGCGTCATTTTTATTTGTTATTTTTCAGTACAATTAATAGTGTTATTATTAATAATACAATTACAGTTGAAGTTGTTCAATTCTTTATCGTCATCTTCATCCTGTAAAATCTCCGCCATTTTAGTCTACGATCTCTGTCAATATTTGACAAAATCATTCAAATATGTATACTGTTTTCTTTTTAAAAGAAAACAAATAAAGAAATTAATTATAATAATAAATTAAAGGAAGTGCTGATACTATTATTATTTTTTATCATTATCGTTATTATTATTGTTATTATTTACTATTATTATAACTATTATTGATATTCTTGTTTTGTTCATAAAAATTCAGAACAAAAAAAAATTTTTTTTTTGATATCGTTGCACAAATAGCAGTAGCAGTAACAAATATATCAGTCAGTTGAACAGTTGCTGCTGGCAGATGATAATTAGTTTGGTTGAACATGAATTTTATAATAGTCGAAAATACACGTTTAAATAAACCGATTTCTATATGTCCCGTCAATAAATTGCAAATTTAAACCAGTGAAGACGTAACTAAAAAGATAACAAAATTTCGAAAAGAATGAA